CTGACTTGAGCCACCCACCCAGGTGCCCAAAGATGCCTGAGTTCTTAAACATCATTGTATTTTCCATCAGGCTTGTGTATAATTAATAGAATGTCTCATGGGGCGCCTGGGTGGCTTCGTCGGTTAAGCGTCCGACTTTCACTTAGGTCATGATCTCGCGGTTCGTGGGTTCGAGCCCTGCATCGGGCTCTGTGCTGACAGCTGGCTCAGAGCCTGGAGCCTGCTTCGGATTCTTTGTCTCCCTCTTTCTCTGACCCTCCCCTGCTCACGCTGCCTCTCTCTCTCTCTCTCTCTCTCTCAGAAATAAATAAAACATTTTTTAAATTTAAAAAGAAAGGAAACAAAAGCAAGGGGATTTTAAAGGGTACTTGAAGATCTGGGCCTTCAAGGTACAGTGTGTGAAGAAATATCCTATAAATCAGTAGCTAGAATCATTTTTTTATTTTGCCAATTCATTCATTCATCCATTCGTTCATTCATTCATTCATTCATTCATTCATTCATTCTAAGAGAGAGAAATCACAAGCAGAGGAGGAACAAAGAGAAGAAGAGAGAGAGAATCTCAAGCGGGCTCCATACTATCAGCGCAGAGCCTGATGCGGGGCTCAAACCCAAGAACTGTGAGACCATGACCTGAGCCTAAACTGAGAGTAAGATGCTTAAACGTCTGAGTCACCCAGGCTCCCTGCGAATCCTTTCCTTTATATTGGCTTATGATTGAAAGAACTCAGAATGTTTGAATAATTTCTATTAAGTGCTGAAGTAAATGATGTAGTAACAATAAAATTGCTGAATGAGAAATACGTCATTTCTGCCTTCCATCACTTATTCTCACTAAGGGCCCAGGAAGGAGGGACTTGTCATCCCTTTCCTGAGCTGTGTAGATAAATGACAAGGGGAATAGTTCCCTGTGCCCCCGTCCCTGCCCTGCTGTGCTCAAAGAATCAAAAGAAAATGATGGATGCAATTGTAAGCTCACACATCTCTTAGCACTTAAGTAACAGGAAAATGCAAGAAAACGGGCTTTCTGCTTTCATCTTCCAACGCCATGGTCTAACTCAGAAAACTACCATATTTCCCCACCTCTACCTGGCAGCCAGTCACTACTAATACAAGATGGATGGTCCTACAACACAACCTTAGTGTCAAGGCCTGGTGGGCATTCAGCTGCCCTTCCCCGTCCCCCACCGCTAGGATCCACAGCAGGAGGATGGACCTAAATCTTCTCCCATTCTTGATTCTTTTAATGATCTTTCACAGTTTCACCTAGTGAAACCTTCTATTTTTTCCCCTTTCAGTAGTATACAAAATACTTAGATTTTAATGTTTTCTCATTATACTACCCAAAAATCATTTTAAATACCCCCAATGGTTCACACATACCACATGGGGTAGGCTGTAAAGTGCCCCCGTCTGGCCCTAAGATGTCCATGTCCTAATGCCCAGAACCTGTGAGTTTATGCAGTAAAGGGGATTGTGCAATGTGATGGGCAGATGGGGAGATTATCCGGGATTACCCAGGTGCCCCCACTGTTATCATGGGGTCTTTATAAGAGGGAAGCAGGAGGGTGGGAGAGAAGAATGTAACAACAGAAGTAGAGGGTGTGAGGGAGATTTGAAAGATGCTTGACTGCTAGCTTTGAAAACAGAGGATGGGGCCACAAGCCAAGGAATGCAACCAACCTCTAGAAGCTATAAACAGTCAAGGAAACAGATTCTCTCCTAAGCCTCCGGAAAGAACACAGAACTGCAACTTTGCGGCCTACATGAGAAATGACCCTCTGAGCAGCCCAGCACTTTCTCCTTCTTCATGACACACTTTGCAAGCACTCTCGTTTAAGGTCTTAAAGCAACAGTTCTCAAAGTAGAACCAGCAGCATCAGCATCACCTGGGAACTTGGCTATAAATGCAATTAATTCTCCGGTCCTACTTCAGACCTTATGGATCAGAAACTTTGGGGAGGAGGCTGAGCAGTAGGTGTTTTTTTAGCAAGCCCTCTCCATGACACAGAGAACACGGATTTAGAGTTGCACATGACTTAATGAAAACTGAAGCCCTCTAAAACTAATCTCAAAAGAAAGTGAATTTTGTTTTACCACAATTTTTTTAAAAAGAATACACAGAGCCTATGAATACCACAATGGTCATTTGTAGCTTTCAGAGAAAGGGCAGACAATGCTAAAGAAAACTCTGTGGCTTTGTCTAATTTATGTCCTCTCCCATCTGTCAAAGTCTCTTCTACCTACCTAGCATGCAAGAGACACTTTTCTTTCATCCACTCATAGGATACTCTCCAGAAGCATCACACCTCATTTCTGAAGAATCACTTGTGAAAAGAACTTGTACCTTCTCCGTCTTAATAATGGATCTAGGGGCACATTGGTGGCTCAGCTGATAGCTCAGACCCTGGAGTCTTCTTCAGATTCTGTGTCTCCCTCTCTCTCTGCCCCTCCTCCACTCAATTTTCTTTCTCTCTCTCTCAAAAATAAAAACATTTACAATTTTTTTAATTAAAAAATAATGGATCTATTACACAACTAAAAAATACATTATTCTCTTAAAGGAACTCTCATTAACCCCCCTCACAAACAGGTGTTGAGAAAAAATGGGTAATTTTGTTGATCATCTTGAGGACACTTTGTCTGGTTTCTTTAATTACTGCTCTTTCTTTCTACTTTCGAGTATACCCGATTCATTAATATTCAGGTTTTCCTATTTTTTTTATATAAAGTGCTTTAGCTATATCCTGAACGTCTTGATAAACTATATGTTTATCATTAAGTTCTAAATATTTTCTGCGTGCCATTGTATTTTCTTAATTAGTCCATGAATTAGAGGTGTATCTTTTTAAGTTTATTTATTTGTTTATTTTGAGAGAGATAGAGGATCTCAAGCAGGCTCCACACTGTTAGCACAGAGCGGGGCTCGAACTCATGAACTGTTAGATCATGACCTGAACCGAAATCACTGAGCCATCCAGGTGCCCTAAGGTGTATTTTTTTAATATCTAATTTTTTTAAGTTTATTTATTTTGACAGAGACAGAGAGAGTACAAGAGTGGGAAGAACAGAGAAAGAGGCACAATCTCAAGCAAACTCGAAGCAGTCAGCGCAGAGCCCATGCAGGGCTTGAACTCACGAAACTGAAGCTGACATCACAACCTAAGCCTAAATCAGTCAGATGCTTAACCAAGTGAGCCACCCAGGCGCCTCTTAATGTCTGATTTCTAACACAATGGTCAGAAAACATGAGCTGTATCATCAAGGATCAGCAAATTTTTTCTGTAAAGAACCAGTTAGTAAACCTTTCGGGCTTTGCTGGCCAAATGGGTCTCCACTGTAAGTACTCAACTCTGCCTTTGTTGCTCTAAAGCAACCAAAGACAGTATGTAAATAAGTGAAAGTGACTTTTCTAACACTTACAAAAGTAGGTAACTGGTCTGATTCAGCCAAGAGCCATCATTTCCAACCCCTGGTCTATACAGTACCAATTCCTTTGGTCACTCTGAAGACTTGCTGTTACCTAGTACTGCCGTGACTTTCAGTGCATGCTTGAAACCAATTATCTTCTTACCCGCCTCCTGTTCCTCTTCTTTAAGGTTCATGCCTGGCCCACAGAAGCATTTGTTTTTGTTAAATTGTCATGGTGATTCAGATACTGGGGTCTTTGGAACCAGAGACACCTCAGCTGCCAACTTTGCCACTTGCCATTGGTGATTTGGGGCAAATTTCTTAACATCTCTAATCCTCAGGTTCCTCACTTATAGAGAAAATAATAGTGCCTACCTCATGGGGTTGGCCTAAGTAAGGATTATTTAATGAGCGAATCCATATACGGCACCTAGCAGAGCGCCAGGCCAACTTCAATCATGATCAGTAGCATTAACATCATCATGCCTTTGAACCACTATTGTGTGAGGCAGGTATCATTAAACCCATTTTACAAAGAAATTAAGGCTCAGAGATGTTTAGGTAACTTGCCCCAAATCTGATAGCCAATGACAAAGCACCGATTCCCACTCAGAACTTCCGGTCTCCAAATCCAAAAGCGTCCTGGACTCAAGCTCTGACTAATCCAATCGCACTAACAAGTGAGGAATTAATTGACTGTATGCCATTCCTTAGGCGAGGCTGCATTTTCAGACACGCGGAGACAGGAGTTGCGGAATGCACAGGGATGAATTCTTCGCGGTTCAAGTTTAGTTCTTACGGAAAATGAGAGAGTTCCGCGAGCTAAACGGGTCAACGGGCTGGCCGACAGGGCCCGGACGGTGCCAGTAGAGGCGGCAAACCACCAGACTCTGGGAACCAGGGTGCCGCGGTATATATAATGCGGATAAACTCCTTTCTGGGCTCGATCCGCGCAGGAGGTGGTCTCCCACAGCGGCGCAGCCGGGCTGGGCGCCTCCTCGGCCCCGTTGACCTTGCTACCCAGGTCCGAGCTGCCCTTTCTGGCTCCCCCGTTCCACTTGCCCCGGGCGCCTGGCGCCTAAAAATACCACCCCGGTTGAACCTCCCGGAACATGCCTTCGCTTTTTAAAAATCAGGCGCCGTGATCACCTCGAGATCCATAAATCACAGCCCTGACCTGCCGTGGATGCAGCGGGTGACGGGGCCCTCAAAGTAGCGACGAATTCAGCCCCTTTCGATGACCCGGGCTTTTCGGTCTTTTCCCCCCTCCGCTCCGCGGACAGGGCGTATCGTGAGCACCGCCGCCCCCGCCGCCCCCCGCCCCGAAGATCGTGCTGGTCGCTGGAAAAGCAACCCGGGAACCTCCATCTCTCCCAGCCCGGGGTAAGCCGGGGACTCTTCAAAGCCATACCCTGTGACAATCACAGGGGTTTTCTCCGCCCCGTCGGTGACGGAAAACTCGTGACTCGGACTTGAGCGTGGGGCGGGCGCAGAGCAGCCGGGGGCGGAGCTGCGAGCCCTGCTCGCGAGGAAGCCCCCGACGGGCGGCGCGTGCGCAGTCGCTCTCCACGGGACCTCCTTCCCGCCGCTGAGACTAGGAAGCGGGACGCCAAATCTGTCCCCGCGCAGCCGCCGCGCCGGGCGCCGAGCGGGGCGGCCGGCCTCCCCGAGGCGCGCCTGTGCACGTTCCCACGCACGCTCCGGCGTACGGCGGCGGCCAGGGGTCGCGAGCCGGTGAAGGACCCGCGCTCCGAGGAGCCCGGCGATTCAGCGCCTCTTCCCTCCCTCCCCCACTCCCCTCCCCGCTCCCTCCCCCCCGTCCCCAAGAATGTTCCGCTACGAGGTGAGCTCTTGCGACCGGAAGTAACCCCTCCCTCCCTCCCGCGCCCCTTTTGGTCTCTCACCCCCTGCGTGTCCGTCCCGAGCCCCTGGGGGAGTAGGGGGCTGGCGGCGGGACCCCTGGGACCGAGTAGAGCGCTTGGGGCCTGGGGTCGCGGGCTTAATCCGAGGGTGGTGAGCCGGCTGCAGGGGGCGGGACTGTCCTATCAGTTGCCGCCCGGGAGAGTTGGCCTCTGTTTTGGGGTGGCGAGGGCCCGTTAAGTACCGTAACCAGACCGTTCCCCCGCCCCCACCCCGGGAGGAGCAGCGGAGGGGAGAGCGTCGCACCCACCGGCTTGAGGAAGAGTCTCCCGGAGAAGCCTAGAAACACGTTTCCCGCCCTGGACCCGGAACCACCTCCCCTCCAGTTAAACACACACACCCGTGCGCACTGGCAACCAGCGGGTCAGGAGGGTGCCCGGGCTTGCCCTTTTCTGGGGCCGAAGACTGTTTACCAAAGAGGGCTCCCCGAGTTGGGAGGGGGCGTGTCCAGCAGAAGTTCCTTCTGGGCGAGTAGAGGGGAGACGCGGGTTTGGTGACCATCCCGGGAATGTAGCGACAGTCGAGAGTCCTGACCCAGCCACTAACTCACTGTTATGACCTTGAGCGGCTCCTAGCCTCTGGACATAAAGTTTCTAGATTTGTAGACTGAAAGGGCTGCTCTAGGGGATCCCTGAGAGCCTCTGCAATTTAAAAAAGCAGTGATTTGGTTAAGTAGATCTTTGCGACTTTGAAGGGCGTGCAGCTGGATGTTGCTTGTGATGTGGAGGCAGTTGTATGCCTGCTTTGTGTGAAGTTTGGGAGGGCTGAAGATGGGTAGAATGACCCTTTGGCCCAACCTTTCCTTTGGGAACAGCCTAGCGTAGAAGTACCCTGGCAGGGTATATCCCAGACCTGCCTGTGATAGGCAGTATTGTGATCGTGAGTCTTTGAACACTGGGGACACATACACTTGATGGGAAAGGTTCAAAACCAAACTGACTTGATGCAAACATGGAGAGAGATGATGAGATGCGGTAGGCAGAGTTGCCAGAAGAAAACTTGGAAAATAGGTCTGTTGAAAACTGTAATGGAGGGGGGAAGTACTGAAAAGGGAACAGACTACGTTGTTCTGGTAATATCTAGCATTGTGGAGCAATTCGCAGCCAAATCTTTGCCTCATTTAATCCTCACTGAGGTATTATCCCTGTGTTACCACCCAGAGACTAACACAGAGCCTGAGACGCAATAGGTACTTCAGAGGTATGTCATGAATTAACTAGAACATGACTTGCCCAAGTTTGCACCACTTGTAAGAATGGAGCCAGAACTTGAACTCACCCTGTCACAGCTTTTCCAGAGTTCACTTGATGGGGGTTGAAAATTTAGCTTTCTGTTTTATCACCAGAGTTTGGGCCTACAGAAAACAGGATGGAAAATGAACAGAAAGCTTTAAAAAGGGCATAATAAAATACAGTTGAAAATTTGACAGGAATATGGGAAACATACTTTTTGAAAAATCGAAATACATATATATTGAAAATATATATATAACTCAAGCAAAATAGTAATAAAGTGGTCATTTTCAGCTTTCATTACTATTCTAACCAGTGATGTGAAGAAAGTTGGGGGCCTAATTCCTTCATTGTGTGAAGAAATACTGTTACTAGGATTCTTGATGGAGAAATGGAGTGTTTGGGCCAAGAGAAACTGAAAGAAGATACTGGCATCTTCCACTGTCAGGGAAACTGAGCACAGAAAAAAATGCTGTCTTTACAAGAGGTCATAATGAAGCTATTCTGATGATGGGGAAGATAAAACGAGCATTCTTTTAAGTGACTTTTTCAAAGTTTTATTCGTGAGTGTGAACTTCATGAATAGCTAATCTCTTTTCTCTTTTTTTAGTCTTTAGAGGATTGTCCTCTGGATGAAGATGAAGATGCATTTCAGGGCTTGGGAGAGGAAGATGAAGAGATTGATCAATTCAATGATGATACATTCGGGTCAGGTGCAGTTGGTAAGTGACATCTTGTTCTTATAATGTCATCTTGGTCTCTTGCTATTTTCAGATGTTCTCTTTTTTTTAAGTGCTTTGTCTTAGTGAGAGTAACTGCCTTCACAAATTTGGCAAAATATTCTTTTCTTGGTCTCAGAATAGTTCAGTCCTCACCGGAAGCATCTACCCCACTCCCTGGGCCTCTTTTTTCCTCATATATAAAACCAGGTGCTCTTTGAGCCTTGACCCTTCCAGCTACATTACCTACAGCTCTAGGTTGATGCTGTAAGGAATGCAAATGGTTAGACAGGTAGACATTTTTATAAAGATTTAAAATAATCCTAGAAGAAGGAAACTTTTATTTGTGGAACATGCAACTTTTGGAAAACTAGTAAATTAAGAGAAAACTTGGACTTGAGTGTGTATGTTTTAAAATTCATGGGCCACCTGGGTGGCTCAATGGTTAGACGTCCAACTCTTGATTTCGGCTCAAGTCATGATCTCGCATTTCATGGGTTCAGTCCCCTCATCGGTCTCTGTGCTGGCAGTGCGTGGCCTTCTTGGGATTCTGTCTTCCCTCTCCCTCCTCCCCCTCCCTCCTCTGTCTTCCTTTCTCTTTCTGCCCCTCCCATGGCTACTCTCTCTCAAAATAAGGATATGAGCTTTAAAAAATAAAATAAAATTCAGTTAACCAATGGTATATTGCATGACCCTGCTAGTGCCTTGTAGTATCTTCAGTAAAATAGAAAGCATTTTATTTCAAGAATTGTGGTAATAGGAAGTCTTCGTAAGTTAGCAAAGTGCTGTGCACAGATGAAATTTTCCCATCCCTGGATATGAACACTTATCCTAGGAATTGGAAAAGGGTAAAAAATTAAAGAGCCAAACTAAATTTAATATGACTCAGAGTTATAATTCCTAAAATGGGAGACTTAGTGAGCACGCTTATAATGATAAAGTTCGAGAATTAGAGATCCTAGAGCAAGTGTACTAATAAAACAATAGGTACGAGTCCATACAAATATTTTTACTTTAACTGTTGGTGTTGAAAAGTAGCAATAACTGTTTCTGTTGGGAGGTGTAACTATGTGTGATTTCTTTGGAGTCAGCATTTCTGTCGATGCAACAAACATTCAAAGTTGAGTAGCAAGAGGAAATTATGCAATAGTGACTAATCTGAAGATGTTGAATGTCAAAAACAAATATGAGATCTTAGAGGTGTGATAGTGGTTACTCATTCTGCAGTGACCTCAGCAGCTTGAGTTGATGAGAACTTAGACTAAGTGGAATTAACTGGCAAAAATAACAAAGTTTGCTCTTGTTAGTCAAGACTTACAAGATTCCGTAGAGATCTACAACTGCCACTTTTGGGAGCAACACGAGAAGTGTTTAAGGTTGAAGGAAGACTGATTACAGAAGGAAACCAAAGAGCATTAGGATTATGACTATAGTTAGGAGAAGAGATAGGCCCAGAGAATGACATGATCAAAGCTGCTCTTCTTTCTCCATGGAGATCGCCGGGGAAGAGATGTAGAATAGAATTGCAAATGGACTGATGGGAATCGCAAATTGTATTTGGAAGTTTCTTTAGCATATAACCTATAGAATACAATGGAAGCTACAAACACTGGGTGCTTGTTTCTAGAACTCCTTTTCTCTTAAAGTATTGTTGTACTGAATGTTACCATTTTCTAGCAGATTCCTCACTATTAAATGAAATTGACGGACTCGATTGACAGCTGTTATATTAGGATGAAACAGCATAGTACTATGCCCTCACTTTTGAACCCAGACAGAAGAGAAATAATCTTGCCTCTTCTCATTGACTTCCAGTGTGCTATGGACAATCTTTTTCTACTTCTGTGTTCCTCACAAGTTGGGGAAAGTATTTCCTTAAAAGGATGTTGGAGTGTGCAGAACTGTGTTTTGTATGATGGAAAAAAAGAAAAGTACACACATGTTGAAAAAGCCCCTGGGTTACAGTAAAAGAACAGGTAGTAAAAAGTAAAGGCAGTGAAATAGCATATGGCTTGCCCAGTTTGTACACAAAGGCATAGGTGATTAAGAAAGACTTCTCTTGTTCAACAAAGTTTATAATGGAAAAGAGAGTTCTAGGGGTGCGTCAGTCAGTTTAGCGTCCGACTATTGACTTTGGCTCAGGTCATGATCTGACAGTTTGTAACCCAAACCCCCACCCATCAGGCTCTCCAGTGACAGCACAGAGCCTGCTTGGGATTCTGTCTTTCCATTTCTCTCTGCCCCTCCCCTGCGTACGCGCACTCGCGCTCTCTTTCTCTCTCTCTCTCAAAATAATCATTAAAAGAAATGGAAATTTCCAAGTATGAGCTCTCTCCTTTGGGAATATAATATACTTGATATAAAGTTAAAATCATAATTCTTCATGATATTTTGATATAAATGTTACACAGATTTATAAAAAAAAATTGCTAACTCAACCTGTGATTTGTTTAATACACCTGTACAGATGGTATAAAGAATTTAAACCAGGAGGGGCACCTCTGTGGCTCAGTCAGTTAAACGTCCAGCTTCACCTCAGGTCATGATCTCATGGCTCATGGGTTCGAACCCCACTTCAGGCTATGTGCTGACAGCTCAAAGCTTGGAGCCTGTTTTGGATTCTGTGTCTCTTTCTCTCTGCCCCTCTCCTGTTCTCTCTCTCTCTCTCAAAAATAAATAAAATTTTTTTTAAAAATTAAGAATTTAAACCAGGAGGTAAAATGTCAGACCTCTGACATATGTTATGGGTTGATAGTTTTTAACTCAAGGAGTGAGTGTCTTGAATAACACTTGTCAGTACAGTAGTTATTTTAAGTCACTGGCTGCAGATGCTCTGATGTCACCTTTCCTTAAGAAACTAGTCCTTGTCTTCTGCATGGAAAAATGTTTACATCATCTTAAAGCAGTAAATAGCCACAGTAATCTTAACTCATTCTCTAAAAATAAAAGTTGACACGAAGTGATTATTATCTGCTAGGCACCACTCTAAATGTTGTATATATGTTATTAATTCTCACAAGAACCTTGTGAGGTAGATACTATTATTATCCTCATTTGAACAAATGAGGAAGCAAAGTGTGAGAGAGGTTAAGTAACTATAAATACAATCTGTAAACTACCAGCTATGTTTAAAGTTGGTGAGGAATCTTTGAGAATCTCCTGCCTCCACTTGGAAGGGCTCCCCATTCTTTCCACTTCCCTTTAATTGATAGCTGTTATAATCTTTAGGGACTTAGGTTGCCTTAACATTAACTCATTTGTACTTCCTTTTCATTTTGTTTTTATCCAAAAATATTCCTGAGACAGCAGCCCGGAATTCAGTAACCCACATCCGGGTATAGATTAATTAATTAGTTAACAGAAAACAGATACTTCTTTTTTCTTCATTGCTCTGGTATTCTTTTGCCCAGCCTTTATCATTCTCAACATTGTGGATTGAGTACAAGCATTGGCATATCTACGTAACTTTATTTTTAGGTCATTTGAAAAAGATACAAGCGAGGTATCCTCTCCTAGTAAAGGGCATGTGATCACTTGACATATTGCTTCACAGGAGTTTTCACAAGAGCAAGGAAAACCCGGAATGAAGATGACAGTATTCTGTGGCCTAGAACCCTTTGTTTACATGTTTGAAACAGTGACAGTCCATTCACAACAAAGCCATTTTCATAGAATACAGCTGCTTAACCAGTGTTTTTCAAATGTGTTATTAAGGACAGATGAACTGCTCATCTCTGGTAGGAGCTAGTCAGCTTAGTCAAGATGAGCATGGCCAGTGGTAAATGAAAACAATTCAGGTTAGAATTCTTCTGCATTAGGATCCATCTGCTAACAAATTAGCATCTTAAATTGGGGAAATAAATATTTTTTTTTAAAAATCCCCTAATTCAGGATTATACAGAGTCCCCATTTTTTGGCATCAGTGAGTTAGTAGCATTGCAGAAAACAATGCTTGAAAAACTTGCTCGGCTCACTCTTCCTTAGCAAAGATGACACAAATATTGGTGTCACAACTGATTTTTAACTACACTCATCTTTAGGAAAATTTTTCCAGGTAACTGATAATTTAAATTAATACTGTAATTTTCACGGAAAGTAAATTTTTTTTCTTTACCCCAAGTAGTACATTCAGATATACCGCCGTGCCCAAAGACTAGACAGCGGTTCTGATCATACGTCTGGAAGTCTCCTTCCCTTGCTTTCTGGGTCACTAGTGTTAGGTGATCTGTTGTTATGTAGTAAAAATAGAAAATTTTAAATGCTTATAATCTGACCCCACAAGGGACTTTGCCTACTTAGTAAATATTTGCATAAGATGTTAAGATCTGTATAATACTCATTAGGGTATTAATCATTACATTGAAAATTTGCAAATAATCAATTTTTCATCAGTAAGAGATCAATTAAATTAGTATATCAACAGAACAGAATCTTACACAGGTGTTAAAAAGAATGAGGTAATATTATCAGTAGTTATATGCATGTTTGTGTGCATGAAAAGTTGTACCGGATGTATTATTGCTTAAATACAAAGAAACAAAGGGCGCCTGGGTGTCTCAGTTGATTAAGCATCCGACTTCAGCTCAGGTCATAATCTCACGGCTTGTAAGTTTGGGCCCGGCATCCGGCTCTGTCCTGGCAGCTCAGCCTGGAGCCTGCTTGGGATTCTGTGTCTCCCTCTCTTTCTCTGTCCCTCCCCCTGCTCATGCAGTGTCTGTCTGTCTGTTTCTCTCTCTCTCTCAGAAATAAATATTAACAAAACTTTTTTAATAAAAATAATAAAAAGAAACAAGTTAAACCTTATAGTTTGCATTTAAAAAACTTAACATACCTGTAAAATTCTGGGGAGCTCTCAAAGTTACATATTTGTGTGATGTTTGAAGTTTTGTGTTTTTTTGTTTTGTTTCGTTTTTTGATCTTTGAGACAGAGACAGAATGTAAGCAGGGGAGGGTCAGAGAGAGAGAGACAGAATCTGAAGCAGGCTCCAGGCTCTGAGCTGTCAACACAGAGCCTGATGTGGGGCTCGAACTGACAGACTGCAAGATCATGACCTGAGCCGAAGTCAGACACCTAACCAACTGAGCCACCCAGGCGCCCCGATGTTTAAATTTTTTAATAAACATGTATTTTCTTTATAAGAAGAGAAAAAAAAAAGATAATTTTAACAAGTTATATGTGAGCCCCTCAGAAAATTGTCAGTAAATCTAAGGCTTTTTTTTTAACTGGCTACCATTTATTATACTCTTAGTGTATATCAGGCACCTTTTTTTTCCCCTTGTTATGTTGCCTCCAGGTCTTCCTTCCCTCTTTCTCTAATGAGGTATAAAGAAAAACTATGTGGAAGGATTGCCATTGAGGACACTTGCAGAATTCTGTGTTTCTAATGTTCGTTATAAAGAGAATTACCTGTTACCCTTTCTGATGAATTTTATGGGACATAAAGAACAAACCTAAAGTAATGAAATATATACGAATACGTAGGGTTTTTGTGAGTTTGGAAGTTTAGAGGAGGTAAAGGCAGCATTAGAATGAAAAGATTTAGGGAAAGCTTCTGCGAGGAAGAAGATAACCTGAAAGTGAATACTGAAAAGAGCATAATAGTGAATAGAGCTTTTATGATGGAAACGGAATGGAGGAATGAGATTGAGGAGCACTGGAGACGGAGTGCTGGAAACAGGGTCTGGTTATAGAAGCTGATGAAGGGTTCTGCAAATTTGTGTGTGCTGCAGCAGGACTCAAAAATAATGTTGTGTCAGCATAAAAAGTGAGAAGCCAGCCTGGTGCCAGCACTGCAGACTGCAGAGTCACATACAGGGACGGCAGACACATTGTTAGGGTGGGAGAGGACAGGACCCAGGGCACCGTCACCTTTTCCCTGACGTATACAGTAGTCACCTGGCAGGCCTCCAGGCTTCCAATATTTCCACTCCTTTCCCCTCCCCCCTCCAGCATCCTCACTGTATTCTCAGTACAGCAGCCAGAGAATTTCTTTCAAAAGGTCAAGCCACG